CCGTCAGAGCCGCAGCCACAGCGCGCGGTGGCAGCGACGCTGCGCTCTCCCAGGCATCCGTGGGCTCAGCGAGCCAGGCGCGACCTCTGGGGTCTGGGAGACCAGTCCGCTTCGCTTAGTGGCTGAAATACCTGGAAGGGGATGGTTTTCGTTGCTGGACCCTCAGTTTCCTGCCTGTAGAATGGGAATAAATGTTTCCCACCCATTCCTAGGGCCTCTGGGAGAACGGGCCCTCCAAACGGTTCAAACGCAGGGCGCGGATATTAACCGACCGGACACTGGTGCCGCGCAGAGCTCAGACCCGACACCGAAGACTTCCATCCCTAGGGCGAAGCCTCCCCGCCTCCCCGCCTCCTCCAGCCCCTCCCCACCCCTCTCTCCACGCACCTTTCCTCTGTTAGTTAGGACGCGCTGCCCGGCCTCCCCGGCCCAGGGAGCTGTCCGTGACCTGGTGCTGAAACAGGGATCATAGCCCAAGCCGCGCGCGCGCCTAGGGTTACCTCCACCGGCGGGAGGAAAGTTCTTCCAGGAGTTCCGACCCCTCATCCCTCCACCCTGCTTGGCTGCCTGTAATGCCGGAGGCCTGGATGGCCCTTGCAACAGTTTAAGGGGTTGACTGACTGGCTGGATCGTCTAGGACTGTGGGGACCCTGCCCATCCTCTGTCTCCTCTCACCTCCATCCCCAGTCCCTGCTCCCCAGTCCAGGCTCCGAGATCTTTGTCCCCACCATACCGAATTCTGAGATGACTGTTTAAAAATCATTAGGAGGCTTAGAATAATTACCGAAGGAGAGTGTAATTACGGAGTACAGGAAGCCAGGCAGAGGGAAGGGGGACGAGCAGGTGGTGGCGGGGCCGCCTCGGGAACTGGGGCAGGAAAATGGGTTCCAGTGTACCTCTGACTGCAGGCCGGAGGGCGTCGGGAGAGCAGTTTGAGCGGGACAGAGCAGGGTCTGGGAAAGCTGGAGCCCATGGAGAAGCCCAAGTAGAGAGAAAGAGAAAGTGGGGGAAACTGAGCATGTTCTGGGAGAAAAGAGAGAAAGGCTTGGAGTCCAAGAGAGTCACCGAGGGGAACCCAGGTGATGACAGTAAGAAACAGCTAGAGGGGCCAGAGACACAGGACAGTGGGGTGAGCCGCTTGCCTTGCTGGCAGCCGTCCCTGGCACCCCATATGGTCCCCATGAGCCCCACCAGGAGTGATCTGTGAGCACAGCCAGGTGAGGCCCCAAAGTAAACAAAAATGAACGTCCCCCCAAAAAAAGCTCTAGAAGAGAGAACCCCCTCAAAATTGTAGTTTTCCAGGCCTCGGGAAACACTTTGGCCAACGTGGGTGTCTAAATGCTGCACAAGGGGTAGAGTTCTCACTGAGAGTTGGGCCTGGGGGACCAGGTGGCACCCCTAGACTTTTCCTAGAGCCCCCAGTAGCCAGGGGAGAAAAGAAACTCGAGAAGGGAGAAGAAAGGAGCCGAACTCCAGGAAAACCATAAAGCAGGGGGGAAGTGCGCCTATAAACCCGAAGCAGGAGGGGAAGTGGGGGGCGGGGGCGAGGGCGACCGCGCGCCGCTGGCCGCGGAAGATTTATGGCGCCGCCCAGGTTCCAAGGACGCGCGGCGCTCGCAGCGGCTGCCGCCTTCACACTCACCCCGGCCTCAGAGCCGTGCGCACGGGAGGCCCGCCTGCCCCAGGCTATCCCTGCCATTATTAACTTCTGTTTGATTAGGGTAATTGTTCAAACTTGGGCCGGACAGTATGATTAATTACAGTTTAATTAACGTGTCCATTAAGGACACTTAATGCCAGGGGGGGCGGGGAGGGAGCGCCCGGGAGGTGCTGGCAAAGAGGGGGTGTGAGTGGAAACGCAAATGTAGTAGACACCGCGATGACGAGTGGGGGAGAAGATGGGGACCCACTGAGGGCAGTGGGGGGACGGAATAGCGGCCACGGACTACGAAAGGACAGCGAATGGAGAGAAATCGAGCTTTGGGGAGAGCGAAACTGCCCCTAGACGCTGCAGGGGTTAGACCCCCGCAACGGGGGCGGCTGCTGTAGCGCTGACGGGAGGCGGAGAGAGACCCCGCGGGCAGCCAGCGAGTGTTGGGTCCCAGGTATCTGGAAGACTCCCCCCTAGACTCGTTTGGGTGGAGGGCTGGGGAAGGCAAACCCAGTTCCCTGATCCCCAGCTCAGTGGAGGGGGTGGAGGGGTCGCCCCTCCCCAGGCTGGCACTGTCCTGACGCCCCCCCCACCCACCCAAATCAGAAGCCTGGGGGTAGCCCAGGTTCTGCCTCTTCCCGCGGCCACCCCTCAGCACCCCACATACTGGTTTCTGTCCCGGCCGCTGGTGACCCTATTGCCACTCACTGTAGGACTCCACTATCTTGGCCGGGAAACCAGGACCCCTGTGCCCCCCTTTCTCCAGCGCCTCCCTTAGTCCGCCACCTGGCCTTAGCCCCGCAGCCCCTGGCCTGTTTGACCGGAACTCTGGGCGCTCCCCACTTCCCTGTTCCGGGCAAACTTTGCGGGCCCGGGTCCTTCTCCCCCTTTCCCGCCCCTTTGGTGAGCGCGGGTCTCAGGTGCGGGGCGCGGGGCGCAGGTGTGTGACCGCTTACCTGGGGCGCTCAGGCCCGCGGGCTGCGGGGAGGCGGCGGGGAGGGCGCGTGGCCCGCGGGCTGGCGGACCCCGGGAGAGCCCAAGTGACCGAGCGGGCGGTGGGTGTGGCGCCCCGGCTCGCAGCTGTCAGGCGAGTCCGCCCCGCTCGGGCCTCGCCACTCGGACAGTGATCGCGTCGTGCCCGTCGCCGGCCATGCGCTCCAGGCTTGGGGCTCGACTCCGGGCCTCTCCGGGGCCTGGGGGCCAGGGGCGCAGGGCACCTGTCTCGGCGCTCGGGGCCCCGGCGGCCGCCCGCGTTTGCTGAGAGCCGACGCGGCGCGGGAGGGGCCGCGGGGCCGCGGGAGAGCGCGGAGAGCCCGGGAGCGCGGCTGTGCGCGCGCGCGGGGAGGGGCCGCGCCGTCACCCCGAGAGCCCGGCGGATCCCCGACTCCCGCCCGCCGCTCCGCCCGCCGCGCACCTCCGCTCGCCCATCGTCCGGTTCCAGCCGCCGCCGCACCGTGAGTACCGCGTCCGGTCGCCCGCCGTCCCCGAGCCCCGTCCCTGCAGTCTTTTTCGTTCAGTTCCGATGGGGGCTCTTCGAGCTGTTGTGTTTATTATTAGCCCCAAAGACTCGGTCGCTCCACTCCCGCTGCTGCCGCCGCCCGCCTTCCCTGTCGCCTACTCCGGGCTGCCCCCACCTGCCTTGGGAGCCAGCGAGGGCTCCCAGCCCTCCTGGCGGCGCTTCCTCGGGGCTCTGCACAACCCTTTGCCCCGGCGTTCAGTTCTGGCCCTGGAAATTCGCCTCCTTTCCCAGGATCCCCCTTCTCCTGGCGCCGGGGCCCGGACTCCCCTCCTCCCACTCGAGAAGCCCTGCAGGAGACCCCAGACCCTCGGTTTTCGAAAGGTCCTTCATTGCATACGGGCGCGGCACACTTGCCGGCTTCGGAAAAACAAGAAGAAACGGTGCCCCTTGCCACCACCACCCCCCTTACCCCGCCCGCCAGAGAACCCTGAGAGAGAGGCTACGGGCTGGTCTGAGGACCCCTCGCCCTCCCCGAGTTGGGACAGTTGTAGAGGGCTTAGTTTATTTAATGTTTTACCTCCTTAAAATGTTAAGAGGGGACTTCAAGGCGAAAGCAGTGTCAACTTGTGCCCATTGGATCCACGGTGATGAAGATGAAACAGACAGATAGCAGATAACTAGCTTGATACCCAGAGAAGGTACGAAGACAGATGGGAGAAAGAGGAGCGAGCCAGGCCAGACCAGTGACTGGGGGCAGATAAGATCAGTAACTGCGGGGCAAAGAGAGAGGGAGGGAGCCAGGCAGAAGAAAGAGCCGGGTCACCTCCAGGAAAGCTTTTGAACTCGGATCCCAAGGCCTTCCTTCTGCAGGGAGCTGACCCCTGAAAATGGATTTACCTCTTCTGCCCAGTTTAGGGAAGGGGACCGGGGTTAGGCTGCATCCTGAACTGGGAAGCAGCCTGGGTGTAGAGGACACGTGGCTGGGCTGAGAGACCCAGCGGACCCCAAGCACCAGTGCTTGGGGTCTCCCTCTGGGGATCAAGTCCGTGAGCACCGCCTGCCTTAGCATTAGAGCAAAGCCATAGTCTGGCCCCGACTTTCGGCCCGTGGTGGATAAGAGATGACTAGGTTTCCCTCCCCTTCCGTGTGGCCCGGGACAGCGGGCCTGAAGAATCCTGATAGGATACCCCTGCAACAGAGTCACGGGGCAGGGAGCCCCCAGCCCGCCTTTGACCTGAGGGGAACTGGCTATCCGGAGGAGGAAAAGCCGGGCGAGTGGGCGTTTGACTCGAGGGAGAAGTGGCTCCCGAGAAACTTCTTTGCGAACCTCTTCGTCCCACGCGCTGACCCCTCTGGAAATGAGGTTTGATCTGGAAGGCGGCTGAGCCTGCAGGAAATGGGCTTAAGAACGACGGCCTGAACCTGGCCCCCACTGATACTGGCCAGAAAGAAAACGGTGTCTAGATTCCAGCCCGAATCTTTCTGCTCTCCGAGCGGGAACGCCGGAACGCGGGGCTCCGGGCGGGAGAGGAAAGGTTCAGGTTGTTCTCAGCGGAAGCCGGAGACGCCGGGGGGTGGCCCGGGGGCTGGGCGCCGGCCGCGGGCGTCGGAGCGTCGGGTTCAGCACCGCGAACAGCGGCCGCCGCCCCTCCCTGGAGGCCTCCAGACCCGCTGCCTTCTCCTTGCCCTCCCCCCGCCCCCTGCTGTCTGGAGGTGGGCAGTGACCGCCCCTCCCCCGCCCCCCTTCCGCCCGCGTGCATGCGCGACTGAGCAGAGGGGCCGCGGGTCCCCGAGGTCCGGGCTTCAGGACCCGGACCGGTAGGGCGGGCTGAGAAGGTGGCGTGGCCGAAGGCTGTACAGATCTGGGCGCCAGGAAAGCAGACCTCGGCTATGGCTTTGCTGTGTGGCCTTGGGCAAGTCACTCTCTGTCTCTGCTCCCCGCGTCCTCCCCAGTCCCGACACGGGATTGGGTTCCTCGGCATTCCTGAGTTCTCGGTTACCCCTTTCTCCGCCCTCCCCCCCAAACCCCGGGGGTTTTTGTTCCGGCGCCAGCGCGAGTCTGAACAACAAAAGGCGCCGGTCCAGGGGGCGAATGAGCTTGGATTCCCCATTGCCAAGTTTCCCCGCGCGCCCCAGTCGGCGCGCCCCGCTGGGCGGGCCTGAGTCGCGGCCGCGGCGCTGAAAATGGCTCATCTGCTCTCTGCTTTCTCTGTTTCGCAGGAGCGGCGGCATGGAGGCGCTCACCACTCAGCTGGGGCCGGGGCGTGAGGGAAGCTCTTCGCCCAACTCCAAACAGGAGCTGCAGCCCTACTCAGGCTCCAGCGCGCTCAAACCCAATCAGGTGGGCGAGACGTCGCTGTACGGGGTACCGATCGTGTCTCTGGTCATCGACGGTCAGGAGCGCCTGTGCCTGGCGCAGATCTCCAACACCCTCCTCAAGAACTACAGTTACAATGAGATCCACAACCGCCGCGTGGCCCTGGGCATCACGTGCGTGCAGTGCACGCCGGTGCAGCTGGAGATTCTACGTCGGGCAGGCGCCATGCCCATCTCCTCGCGCCGCTGTGGCATGATCACGAAGCGCGAGGCCGAGCGCCTGTGCAAGTCGTTCCTGGGCGAGCACAAGCCCCCCAAGCTGCCCGAGAACTTTGCCTTCGATGTGGTGCACGAGTGCGCGTGGGGGTCGCGCGGCAGCTTCATCCCGGCGCGCTACAACAGCTCGCGCGCCAAGTGCATCAAGTGCGGCTACTGCAGCATGTACTTCTCGCCCAACAAGTTCATCTTCCACTCGCACCGCACGCCCGAGGCCAAGTACACGCAGCCCGACGCCGCCAACTTCAACTCGTGGCGCCGCCACCTCAAACTCAGCGACAAGTCGGCCACCGACGAACTGAGCCACGCCTGGGAGGACGTCAAGGCCATGTTTAACGGTGGCACGCGCAAGAGGACCTTCTCTTTGCAGGGCGGCGGCGGCGCGGGCGGCACCAGCGGCAGCTCGGGCGCGCCGGGCAAGGGCGGCGCGGGCGGCGGCGGCGCGGGCGGCCCCGGGTGCGGCGCTGAGCTGGCCCCGGGCCCGCCGCCCCATAAAAGCCTGCGCTGCGCCGAGGACGAGGCGGCCGGGCCTCCCGGGCCGCCGCCGCCGCATCCACCGCGGGGACTCGGGCTGGCGGCCGGAGCCGGTGGCCCCGCGGGCCCGGGAGGGCCCGGCGGCGGCGCGGGCGTGCGCAGTTACCCGGTCATCCCGGTGCCCAGCAAGGGCTTCGGCCTCCTGCAGAAGCTGCCGCCGCCGCTCTTCCCGCACCCCTACGGCTTCCCCACGGCCTTCGGCCTCTGCCCCAAGAAGGACGACCCGGTGCTGGGTGCGGGCGAGCCCAAGACCGGCCCGGGCACCGCTAGCGGCGCGGGCGCGGGCGCTGGCAGCGGCGCAGGCGGCCCCGGCGCGGGCCACTTGCCTCCGGGGGCCGGAGCCGGACCCGGCGGCGGCGCCATGTTCTGGGGTCACCAGCCCTCCGGGGCAGCCAAAGACGCGGCCGCCGTGGCCGCCGCGGCCGCGGCCGCCACCGTGTACCCGACGTTCCCCATGTTCTGGCCGGCGGCGGGCACCCTCCCCGTGCCGCCCTATCCCGCCGCGCAGAGCCAAGCCAAGGCCGTGGCGGCGGCCGTGGCGGCGGCCGCGGCGGCAGCAGCGGCGGCGGCCGGGGGAGGAGGCCCCGAGGCCCTGGACGGCTCCGAGCCGGCCAAGGAGGGCGGCCTGGGCGCCGAGGAGCGCTGCCCGAGCGCGCTGTCCCGCGGGCCGCTGGACGAGGACGGCGGGGAGGAGGCGCTGCCGCCCGCCCTGGCCCCGCTGCCCCCGCCGCCGCCGCCGCCGCCTGCGCGCAAAGGCTCGTACGTGTCGGCCTTCAGGCCGGTGGTCAAGGACGCCGAGAGCATCGCCAAGCTCTACGGGAGCGCGCGCGACGCCTACGGTGCGGGGCCTGCGCGCGGCCCGGGGCCTGGCGCGGGAGCCGGGGGCGGCTACGTGAGCCCGGACTTCCTGAGCGAGGGCAGCTCCAGCTACCACTCCGCCTCGCCCGACGTGGACACTGCCGACGAGCCCGAGGTGGACGTGGAGTCCAACCGCTTCCCCGACGAGGAGAGCGCCCAGGACGAGGCCGAGCCCGGCGCGCCCGGTCCGGCCGGCGGCGCGGACGGCGACCAGGCCGCAGGACCCCCGTCCGCCGCGTCGTCGGGCGTCGTGGACGGCCCCACGGACTCGCCCGACGGCGGCAGCCCTCGCCCCCGACGCCGCCCCGGGCTCGCCCCCGCCGGCCGTTCGGCCTTTGCGGATCTGGCGGCCGACGACGTGGTGCGGAGACCAGAGAGGAGCCCGCCGAGCGGCTGCTACGAGCTGCGGGAGCCTTGCGGGCCTCTGGGGGGCTCCGCGCCGGCCAAGGTGAGCCCCGCGCCCGCCCGGCTGGCTGCGCCGGTCCGCTCGGCGCTGGGTGCTGTGGGCGCGTGGGGTCGGCCCTGGCCTGGTAGGGGACCGGGATTTTGTTCGGAGCGGGCGTTGGAGCAGCCAGTCCAGGCCGCCCTGGGCTGGCCCAGACTCGGGGACGCGCTGGAGCTGGGCTCGCCCAGACCCCAGACTGAGGGTTTCGGAGGATCCGGGGGGGCCGGCCTGAGTAACGCGTGTGCTATGTTTTTATTGATGGGAGTGGGGAGGAGAGAGGCAGCTGCGGTCAGTCCTGCGGAGACAGAAAGAGAGAAATAGTAATAATAATAACAACAACAACAACAACAATAATAATAATGCAAAAGAAGGCAAAGGAGAGAAAAGGACACCCGAAGTCAGAGAAATGTGCTGGCTAGGCCGGGCACTTACTAGCCTTCCAGGATGAGGATCAGAATCCAGGGAGCAGGCTCCGGGAGAGGAGAGCACGGCCTCTGGCCCTGCCAGCCCAGGAGCAGCCCTGTGGGGTCTCTAAAATCTTGTTGCGTTGCAATTCATAGTTGTCCGAGACTTTTGGAACTGTCGCCTTGGAAACCTCTGGGTTTACTACTGGGAAGCTGTGGAGGGGCCGTGTGCGGGGTGGGAGAGGGGTTCTGAGCCTGGTCAGGCCGCGAATTTGGGGGTGGGGGGGCATGCAACTGGGACAGCATCGCTAGCCCTATGAAAGTGGGCGCGCACACCTGTACATTTCCATTCGGTCCATTAAAACACGAGTCGCTAGCCGGGTGCGAAAGGCGTCATTTATGCCGGGGCCCGGGGCACGGCGGGAGGGGAGATGCTGAAAAGGAGGGCGGGGGGTGGGGGAGGGAAGGGGCGCCGGGGAAGGGACCTAGCCCAGAAGCCGCCGGCGTCGCGGGTTCATTGGCTCGAGGGTGCTCATGATGACCCGGAATCTACACCAGCGAGGCGGGCTCCGAGGGTGCGCGTGCATCTCGGCCTCCCGGGGCGCCCCTCCGGCCCTCGGATGTAGCCCAGCCTCGCCATCCGTTCAGCGTCCCCTCGCGGCCACGACTCAGGCCTGCGACCCGAGGGCCCCCTCCGAGCGCCCGCCTAACCGCCTGTCATTTCTCGGCCGCCGCAGGTGTACGCGCCCGAGCGGGACGAGCACGTGAAGAGCGCGGCCACCGCGCTGGGGCCCGCGGTCTCCTACCTCTGCACCCCTGAGGCCCACGGTAACCGCCCCAGCACCCCCTGCCGACGCTGCGGGCCAGGGCGATGGGGGCGGGGTGGGTGGGGACCCCAGGCAGAAGACCTGGGCCCACGGGGAGCCTGTGCGGAGGAGAACGCGAGGAAAGAGGGAAGAAGAAGGAAAAGTCAGGAGAGCAAAGGGCAGCCGAGAGCTGAGTCGCTACTACGACTGTCCCAGCCCGCACACTGGCACGCAGCCTCACTCTGGTCTCTTGCTCTGGGCAGAACCTCGGAAAGCCCCGCGTGGCACCCTCGGGGGCCTCTCCTGTACTTGGCAAGTGTTTTCTAGCCCACAGCTTCCCCGCCTCCAGCCTCGCGGGTGGTCAGGCTGGATCTGGGCGGGGTGGGGGCATCTGAGCTCCTGGCCCTGCGCTTGGGTACCCCTGATGCTCAGCGGTGGCTATGCGGACACAGGGGGAGCCAGGCACGTGCCTGCAGGGCTTAGGGGTCCAGGGGAGGGGCTGAGGGTCTGGGAGATCTGGGCAGGGAGGGTCTGGGAGGGGGTTCCCACCACCAGCATACGCGGGGCGGAGCGGCGCCGCAGAGCCCGGCAGCCACGCGCGCTCGCGGTGCCCCAGTATCTGCGCTGATGTAGGTCGCTCGTCCCTGGTGGGCACGGCGGCTCGTTCTGGCTTCCAGCCCGGCGGATGCGGAGAGGGCGTGGGGGCGCGATCAGAACAGGCCGCGGCGGGGATGGGGGTGGGGCAGCTGGGGACCCCTACGCTACCTGGAGGGTGCGCGCTCAGGCGCTTGCCAGGACCCCACAGCGGCACCCGCACTTTTCACTAGGCTTGGCGCGCCCGCACCCGCGGCCGTTGTGGTCCTATCCGGGTCACGGGGTGGTGGTTTTTCTTTTTCTTTCCTTTTCTTTCTTTTTTTTTTTCCCCTCTCCTTGAAACTCAGTTTATTGCCTTTAAGAGCCAGATAAGGAAGACAATCACTCGACCGCCGATGATTTGGAAACCAGGAAATCCTACCCAGACCAAAGGAGTATCTCGCAACCAAGCCCCGCAAATACCGACCGAGGTGAGCCCTGGGCCCTCCTCCCGCACCGACTGAAACGAGCTGGGTTCTGCTGGCCTGGGGGCCCACTGGCTTCTGCTGGTCAGGGTGGTTTAGTGGAGCCCAAAAGGCTGCCGGGCCCCCTGGCGGGCCTGGAAAAGGTGGAGCCCTGCAGGCTGCACTGCCCGGTGCCCAGTGTGCTTTAAACACGTGCTGCCCTGAGTGGCCTGGATTAAGGATAAGGAGGGACACCTCCTGAGATAGGTCGGGCACTTCCTGTTACAGGACAGCCTGTCCTCCACTTTCCTTCTTCACTGATGGTTGTCCCCCTCAAAGTGTGGCTGTGAGGCAGGAAGTGAGGGTGCCTATCACTGTCCCTAGTAAAAGCAGGGACCTGGGATAACTTCCTGACTCAGTTCTTCTAGGGAAGCCTCATTCCCAAGGGCTCGACCAGGTGTGAACCCTCTTATCTGTCCTTGTACCCCAGGTGAAGATGGGCTCACCCTGGATGTCACAGGAACGCAGCTAGTGGAGAAAGATATCGAGAACCTGGCCAGAGGTGAGGGGCCCAGGGTGTGCATGAGGGGTGTGTCTGTGAAGGGTGTGGGGGTACCCTTGTGTGAGGGGGCTGTGAGGGTGTATATTAAAGGGGTGTGCGGGAGTGTGTTTAATGGGTGTGTGTGAGAGTGTGTTAAGGGTGTGTGAGGAGGGTGTGAGGGTTTGTGGGAGGGTGTTGTGGGAGGCGTGTTTAAGGTGTGTGTGTGAGGGGTGTGTGTGAGGGTTTGGGGATGTTTAAGGTATGAGTGTGTGTATGAGGGGGGTGTGAGTGTGTGTGGGGGTGTGAGGTGTAGTGTGTGTGAGTGTGTGTGAGAGAAGGTGTATGTATGCATGAGGGGTGCTGGTATGTGAGGGTGTAAGGGGTGTGAGTGAGTGTGTGTAACTGTTCAGGGGATGGCTCTTCCTGTAGCAGGGGCTAATGTGTCGGGGCACAGGATGGGACTTCGGACCTTGTGTGGAAGGGATGAGCGCCTGGACACTCTGTCCTGTCAGTCACAGAATATTGGGGCAGGCCCTGGGAAAGGAGATGCTCCCCACCCCAGGTCCCATGGAAGTTTGAGTCCCCACAACTAACCTGTGAGAAATGACATAACACCTGCTCCTCAGAACTTAAGCTGTGGGATAAGCAGAGGAACCAGCTGGTCTCTCAGCCTCAATGGTAGCTGGAGCTCAGGAGGCATTTCTTTATTTGGGAGATGTCTAATGGGTTGATGCAGAACCACCTCCCACAGTGGGGCTAAGAAGGGTCCAGCCAGCTTGCCACATCGGGGGTCTCTTGGTCCAGGAGCAGAGGCTGGGACTCCTGAGCCCCACTGTACCCCTCTGCCGCTCAGTTGCTCCCTCCTATCAGGTTTTCACAGGCATATCCCCATGGGGAGGACCCCAAGACCAATAGCTCCACTGTCAGCCACATCCTGTCATCCCATTGAGGCATGTTTCTGAGGACACTCACGGGGACTTTTCACACTCAACTACAGTTTGGGGGGTGGGGGGCATCCACCCTCACCCTCAGGGCAGAAAGAGCCCAGGGATGGACTTGGATAGTGGAGCAGGAGACAGGACTTGCTCCAGCCCCTACACCTAGTTAGACCTGAGTGGACACACCATAGCCTTCCTTACAGGAGGCATCGTAGCCTGGATTTGGGGTCCAGGACCCCTGGAATCGCAAACCTACTCGGATGAACTCTGGATTCTTCAAGCCTCTGCTTGGAATTACTGAGCAGCGGGAGTAGGTCTCCTGTTTGCTGAGGCAAATTAAGCATCCTGGGCCAGCCTCTAAGGTTTGGGAACTGGGAACAGTGGGAGGACGATGGAGGGCAGTTCTGGAAGTCCAGTGGAAACTGAAGGGACAGCCAGATTCCCAGCCCTATCTCCCTGCACTGACCCACTGGAAGCAAAGGGGAAAACCAAGTGCTTCTGCCTGCTCTGCCCCGTCTCCTCGCTGCCCGGCTCAGGTCCAGGGTGCCTTCCTTCCCCCACTTATCTTCCACTCTTGGCCCTTCACAGATGAATTGCAAAAACTGCTCCTGGAGCAAATGGAGCTCCGCAAGAAGCTGGAGCGGGAATTTCAGAGTCTCAAAGGTACTACGCCCGCCTCACCCCATCTCATCGCCAACCTTGCCCCATCTGCCCACTTCTGTGCCCCTTGTGGCCCCCACACCCCCCTGAGGAAGTAGCTGCTGCTGTGACTCTCGAAGCCGGCAGCCGGTCTCTTTCCTAGGGTTTCCTGCCAAGCCACAGTCTGAGGAGGGGGGTGAGGGTGGGAGGGAGGGGTGGGGGAAAACGGGGTGAGGGCGGGGGGGGGGGCTCTCACGTAACAGCTCTCACTTAATCAATTTGCACAGATAATTTTCAGGATCAAATGAAGAGGGAATTGGCTTATCGAGAAGAAATGGTACAACAGCTGCAAATTGTCAGAGGTAAGAAGCGCGTCAGGTGAGTGCGCCGCGGCCGTAACTGCCTCTCTTGTCTGGCAGGAACCCAGTGTAGGCTCAGTCATTTGGATTTAAATTGAAGGTAATTTAACAATTATTTTTTTTATTTAATATCCTTTGTATACTCTGATTAGCCTCAGAATGGCAAGCGAGCCCAGCAAACGGCTTGCAGGCATCATTACATGGAGTGATTGAACTTCTTATCGCGGCAATTTCCATGGTTTCTAAATTAAAAATCGAGGCGTAAAATTACCTGGGAAGTAATGCCTAAGTTTGCTTTAATTTTGGTGAGATCTGTCTGCCTTTCAGCGCCATCCCAGACCATTTCCTCCCTCCCCCAGGCTGCAGTTTGGAGCTTGGATGCCCCCTCCTTCAGGGGCCCCTGAACCTACTTCCGGGAGGGGTTGTGCTGGGGAGAGGGTGAGTCCGGGTTGCCACCGGGCGGGATGAGGTTGGTCTCACTCCTCCACCTGCCCTTCCCCATGTCTTCCAGACACTCTGTGCAATGAACTGGACCAGGAGAGGAAGGCGCGCTACGCCATCCAGCAGAAGTTAAAAGGTGTGGAAGGCAGGAACAATGGAGCCCAGGCTGGCCTGGGCAGTGCTGGCAAATGAATGGAATATGAATGAATGAATGAATGAATGAATGAGTGAACGAGCGGGAGCGAGTGTGTGAACGAATGAATGAATGAATGAACGTAGGAATGAATGAGTGAACAAATGAACATATGAAAGGCCTCAAGAGAAGGACAGGTCTGCAAAGATCAAAGCTGATGGAGGGAAGTGGGAATTAATTTCCATGGGAACTAGCTTTAGAACAGTGAGTGGAGAGATAGAGCCCCACTGGGCTCTAGGAAATGTGCTCTGGGTTCCCGTCCAGCCCGGTGGATGGCTTTGCCTGGGATGACTCGATTTCTGGTTTCCTCTTCTGTAAAATGGGGTGATGGAACCCATAGGGGCGCGGAACTGCCCGGATCCGTCTCTCTGTGTCTTCTGAGCCACTAGCTTGACAGCTCCCGAGGTGGGGGAGCGCGGGGCTGGGTAGGGCAGTGGGGAGGGTGGTGGCCGGGGGCGTCTCCAACACGGCCCGCCCCTGTGTTCCGCAGAAGCCCACGACGCGCTGCATCATTTCTCCTGCAAGATGCTGACGCCCCGCCACTGCACCGGCAGCTGCTCCTTCAAGCCCCCGCTGTTGCCCTAGAGCCGGCTCGGCCGAGCCCACGCGCCCTCAAGCCATGCTGCTGTCTCGTTGTAAATACCCGCGGCCGGGGCGGCCCCGAGCGAGCGAGCGAGCGAGGAACAAGCCATTCGGACCCGACCCTGTACAGAGAGCCGCGCGCCGCGGGCGCCTCGGCCCGGCCCGCCCCTGCCCGCCCCCTGCCGGGCGCTCGGCCCTGGGCCCCGGTTTTCGTTTCCAAATGTAAATAGCACTTCTCCCCGGGATGGCACTCCAGGGCATCGGACCTCACGGGGTGAGCTGGACCGAAGGGGGCCGGCCGGCCGGGCGGGAGAGGGGACCCTCCTCCATCCCCGCGCTCCCCGCGCAGCCTCGGAGCCCGCATTGTGAAGTCAGCGCAGCCACTTGGCCGGCGCTGCCCTGACCCGTTCACTTCTGAAACTCTTGTTCCTAATGACCAAGTGGCTATGTGCAATGGATCTGAAATGTACTGTGAGTCTCTCGACTCAGTATCGGGGTCACCTGCATTTATTTATTATGCTCCACGTTCCCTTCCTCCTCCTCCTCCTCCTGGGCGACTCCGGCCCCTCGCGAGTCCTTTGGGTTTTGCTTTGTCGTTTTGTTTGTGTTGTGAACTCTTGCTGGAACAGCACTTTAAAATCGGGCCAGGACTGACTCACGAGCCGGAGACCACCGTGACCTTGTTGGGGGAAGACCACTCTGTATCCGTGATTTTTGTTTTGTTTTTAATAAAAACAAACAAAAAAAACCCAGCAACAAAACCCGCACCTGTCACTTCCTGGGGCAGGGCAGTGTTGGCGGGTGGGGGGTGGTGCAGGGAGGTGGCTGCGGGTCCTGCAACAGGTGGGGTCTGGGCTCCTCCCTGCAGGTCTGGATTCGAAGATCCTCAGGGGTGTCGGTGAGAACAGGGCCGGCTCAGGTGAGCAGCTGCCTTGTCTCTGCACCAGCCCCAGCGTGGAGGTCCGCACTCCGCCTCCGGTTTTATTCGTGCCTTTCCAAGCTTGTCTCTCCAGAAGGGCCCCCCCAGGGCGCTCAGAACGGGGTGCAGTGTCCCAGTCGTTTGCAATCCCTATTCAACCAGAACCAGAACCACCAGGAGGGTCTGACGGGGTGGGGCGCTGGGTGGGAACCCTGGCTGGGGCCTTTTCAGGGATTCCGGGTGTGAGGGGCCCACGGAAGGCAGACGCCCGAGGGAACGGCCCCGCCACGGTGGCTGAGGCCCCATTCCTGCTCGGGCGCCTTTTTGGGCCGGGATTGAGGGGGAACGGATGCGGAGAGAGGCATGACACCCGGCTCCTTGGCCCGGGGGCTGCCCGTCTCCCACCCCGGCCGGGGTCCCCCAGGCCCGCTTCTAAAGCACAGTACGTGGCCTAGGGCGCCCAAGCTCCCTAAGAAGGCGTCGGGGCACCTGGCAGCCCCAACTCCCTCGGCCCTTGAAACTCAGCCCCGCGGGGGGCCTGGGGGAGCCAAACGCGCGGCGGGCCAGGAAAGGGGTGCGCTGGTGTTGGGGGGCTGCTGCTGGAACTCGGTACCCGGCAGTTTCCCGAAGACGAACTGCGAGGGGAGGGTCGCCCGGCGCACTGGGAGGGGGCTGGCACGAAGAACCCTCCTGAGGCACGTCCCTGGCGCCCCGACATCCAGGGGAAACGTCTGGGAGGGGGCAGGCGGGTTGGGGTCCCCGCGGCATCCAGGGGCGCAGGCCGGCCCGTGTACTGGGCATCTAGGGACCACCAGGCAGCAAGGGACTGGCCGCGCGCAGCACTGACGCCCCGCACACAAACTCCCGGGACACCCATCACGTCCGGAGTCCCGACCAGGCGCCCCAGCGGGTCGGAATCCCCGCGGAACGGACGCGACGGACGAGCGGGCCCGGGAAGCTCGGTCCCAAACCCTCCCGGGCTCCGTGTCCCCTCGGAACTTGTTCCCACCCCCCCAAAATGTTAATAACCAAACGATTGGTATGGATGTAATTATCAATAATTATACGAATTATTGCTGATTGCGGGGCTCGTAGCTACTTTAATTAGTTTACCAGATTCTAATTAAGTTAAATGAAACATTAATAGGGAAAATATGCTCTGGGAAAAACACACACACACGATTTTTGGAAGTCTCTTTTTCGCCACAACGTCGCCACCTTGCGATGCGTCTTGGGCATTACAGGCAATGCGCAAAGGCCCAGGCAACTAGGGGCGCCTCGGAAGGGAAAAGTGAGGCTTGGGGACTCCCGAAGGGGTTCTGGGCACAGAACGTCCCCCAGGCTGTCCACTCTATGTGTGCTCCTGGTGTATGGCAGGGCCCACAGGCTATCGTACCCCGGAGCCTACTATCTGGGGATAAAAAATAGGGTATAGTGTGCAGGCCACTTCAACCCCCCTCCAAGGATCTCCTGATTGAATGGGACAGGGGGGCCCCCTTCTCCCCTCCCCAAAAGATACTGGGAGCAGCTGAGGGAAGCTGTAGACACTGCTGGAGACAGATGCTTGATTCTTTCTTTATTCTCTTCTTTCTTTCTTTCTTTCTTTCTTTCTTTCTTTCTTTCTTTCTTTCTTTCATTCTTTCGTGTGCCACAGCCATCAGCGACCAGTACTTACTCCTGACTCAAAAGTTTAGTCCTGGCAGAGCTGGGGGACCCTATAGGGTGTTGGGGATACAACCCAGGTCGACAGAGCCAGACAAATGCCCTCCCCACTGTATTATCTTTCAGGCCTCCAGATGCTTGATTTTTTTTTTTTACTATTCTAGGATAAAGGAGATTATCATATTCCTTCACACCTTGGCGTCTGTTTTATCTGCAAATTGGGGTCACCTCCTCTCCTCCTCCTCCTCCTCCTCCTCCTCCTTCTCCTCCTCCTCCTCCTTCTTCTTCTTCTTCTTCTTCTTCTTCTTCTTCTTCTTCTTCTTCTTCTTCTTCTTCTTCTTCTTCTTCTTCTCTTCTCCTCCTCCTCCAATTCTTCTTCTTTTCCTCCTCCCTCTTCCTCTTCTTCTCCTCCTCCTCCTCCTCCACCTCCTCTTCCTCCTCTTCCTCCTCCTCCTCTTTGAGCGTCACACCCAGCAGTTTTCAGGGCTCACACCTGGCTGTGTTCAGGGTTCACTCCTGGCTGGACTCAGGGGACTCTGTGGGATGCCAGGGATCAAACCGGTGTTGGCTGTGTGTAAGGCAAACAATCTCTCTGGCCCACAACTTGCTTTTTTTTTCATGCTCCTTCTCCAACCCCAGGTGCATCACTGATGTTCAACAGATGTCTAGAGTCACTTTTCTCTACGTTTTTTTTTTCAACTGTGGCCCTGTTTAGTCTCCTAGTGTTTTCCACGCCCCACCTTTTACACAATTGTCACTTCCTGGGAACCCAAGGGGAGAATATGTCCCCACGTTGAGAAACACTGATCTAAATATGTGAGTCCAACTTCATGATTTGTCTAGGTGCTGGAAACATCTGCGGAAAGAATCCTAGATGCTTCTGGATAAAGTCAGTGGGCAGCAATTCAATTCATTTGCATGAAATTAATTAAGCAAAAGCTTACTGTTCAAAGAGCCTTTATCAATAGAGTTAGTTTGGGGGCCGGGAGTCAGGTAATGATTGTCAACTTATATCAGGAAAATTTGCTTTCTCTTCTACTTACTTCCTAAAGAGGGTGTTCCTTTACATCTGAATATTTTATTGATTTTGTTTTGTTTTGATTTGGTTTGGGGCCTGGGCTTTACAATATGTCCACTGAAGGTGTTGGAGAGCTAGTACAAGATAGTGCAAGGTAGGGTGCTTGCCTTGCACACGACTGACCTGGGTTTGATCCCTGGTATCCCACATGGTCCCCCAGTAATTCTCGAGTGCAGAGCCAGGAGTAAGCCCTGAGCAGCGCCAGATATGGCACCAAAACAAAGACAAAAACAATTGTCCACTGATAACCACACCATGATCTAAAGACTAGCCTGATCCTCTGCAAATAAAATAGAAATTTAAAAAAATGTTCATCCTTCTTCAAATTCAGAACATCAGCAAAAGCGGAGTTGGGCATGTATGCCTTCTCTATTTTCTCACTCTCCATCCTGAAGGAGACCAGTTCTCAGTTCAGAGCACAAATTCTGTAGCAGATTTCCTGGGCTGGATTTTCTCGTCCTTTCCCTGTGTTTTCCCTGGCATGGGGGACTGACTCTGAGGTCCTTCCTGATCTCTGCTGGGGCTGAAGTCATGCCAAGAAGAACAAGGGGCACCTTGGAGGGGAGGGCACCTCACCAACCCTGGTCGTTTGCTTCTTGGACATCTCCAAAGAAGACGTTGAAAATCAGTCACCTGATTGTCTTCGTGGGCTCCTCCCAGGCATCTTGGGAGGAAGAAAGACCCAAGACTGTCCTCTGGGCTGAAAGCAGAGAACGCCCCACACCCTCTGCTTGGCCACTGGAGAGCATCATTTCACCTCCAGGGAAGAGAACAGATGTCCGGCATTGGAACCTCCTTCCAGTGCCCATGGGGAGAGCACCCCAAGGCCCTGGACTAGCTCCCAGTTCTCATCTGCCTCTTGCTCTCGCTGCAGACATGCACAGATCCTGGGATCAGCTCTCTGGCTTGGTGCCACAAGGCTTCAAGACCACCAGGTCGCGGTTGGGCACCAAGAAAATCATATGCACCCATATTTTTATTCTGGAAAAATAAAACCAATATTAAAAACAAAAACACATCATCGGAAATCTGAACACAGAGGAAAACCTGAACACTGTTCTTTCCCCCTGTTTCTCACCTTATTTTTCAGGACTGTGTTTTTAGTGTTTAGTTTCCTGGGGGGCCAAAACCCATGTGATTGGGGCAGGTAGGGGCGGCACACCTGCGGTGCTGAGGGCTTACCCTGCCCCTGCCCAGAGATCACTCCTGGCAGGCTCCAGTATGTGGAGCTGGAAGTCGAGTCCAGGTCAGCCACGCGCAGGGCAAGTGTCCTCCCCTCCACGCTGAGATGTCACTCTGACCCCACCTTCAGCTCTTAGCACGTTAAATCTCAATTGAGTAGGAAGTGATGGGGGAGCTAGGTAAGTTACTCGCCAGGCTGCTTTACACCTGGAAGAATGGGTCACTTTTTCGTTTGGGGAGTGCGGGGGTGCGGGCTCACCCCGCAGAGACCAGGTGCTCCTCGGGGTCAAACTCGAACCCAGACTGTGCGCCGAGCTAGCTCTGCAGCCCTGCTTTTCTGCTCCGCTTTTGCTTTAAGTCCAAAGGCCTTAGCGGAGTCAGTTCCGTTGCAGTG